AGAAGATAGTGATGTCCAGTCTGTATTTTAGAAAGACTACTCCAGTAGCAATGGGGATGATAGGTGGGAGAGGTTAGCTAGCGGCCAGGAGACTTGCTATAAGGACTTTGCAGTAGCCTTAGAAAGAGGTAATGGATCCCGTGACAAGCCCTGTTGGCTGGCCAAACCAACTCCCATTGCCAAGCCCCTTTTCCCTTGCTTGTGGCCACAATGGAGGCTGGAAAAGTTATGTCCTCCCTACGTCCTTCCCTCTTTCCCTTCGTTCACCTAACAGATATTTCTTGATTGTTTACTGTTTACCAGACACTGGGGATACTGCAGTGAACAAGACAAAGTTCCTATTTTCATGGTGCTGACAGTCTGATGAGGAGAGAGAGACAATAAACAAACAGAGAAACAGATATATAGTAGGTCAGGTGGTGACGAGTATGAAGAAGGAAACCAAAGCATGGTAAGGGGACAGAGAGGTGCAGAGGGGCACATGACGCTATTTTAGCAGGAAGTCAGGGGCGGCATCTCTGATAAAGTGACATTTGAGAAGACCTGATTGACCTGATGTGTGAGCCTCAAGACTATCTAGGGGAAGAATGTTCCAAGCAGATGAACAGTATGTGCAAAGCCCGAGGAGGAAACTTCTTGACATACGTAAATAAGAGCAAGAAGGTCAAAGAGCCTGCTGTGAACTAGGGAGGACAGTGGTGGCAGATGAGTCAGCGAAGTCACTTGAAGTTGACCATGTCAGGCTTTATAGACCAAAGTCAGGACTTGGAACTGTATTTTGAATGCAGAGTAGAAATCATTGCAGGGTTTTGAGAAGAACCGTGACATGATGTGACTTGCAGTTTTTGAGGCTCACTTTGCTGCTGTGTGGAAAACAGACGGTAGAGAAGCAGCTAGAAACAGGGAGACTGTTAGGAGGCTCCCACAGCAGTACAGGTGGGATGGTGGTGTAGACCATGGTGTGGTGGTGTGAGAAGTGACGGATTCTAGAGATATTGTGAAAGAAGTGCTGACAAGATTTGCTGATAGATTGCTGTGGGGTATGGAAATAGAGAGGGATGAATTTACTGTTTGTTGTGTTGGGAAGACTGGAGGAGAAGAGTTTGCAGGGGACCATCAAGAGTCTGGATGTGGGCATGTCGAGATGCCCATTAGACATGCAAGTGGAGATGTTGAGAACTCAGCTAACCATACGAGTCTGGAGTTCAGAGGAGAGGACCAGGGTAGAAATAGAAATGTAGGAGTTGTCAGTGTCCAGTTATTTAAAAGTGAGACTGGATGGGGTCACCCAGGAGAATATAGAGACGAGATGAGATCCCAGAACTGACCCCTGGGACACCACAATGATTAGAGGTCTGGGTGACGAAAAAGAATCAGCAAAGGAGACTGAAGAGCATCAGGAAGAAAGGTGTGAGGAGCGCAAAGCAAGAGTGGAATCCAAGAAGCGAAGAGAAAGGAGTCATTGGAGGAGGAAGGAAGGGTTGTCCCTGTCAATTACACCAGTTTTGTGTTGGAGTCAAGCTTCAAGCCTGTTTTTTTCCCAGGAGCTCTTGGTGCCTCAGACAGAGGTACAGAGAAGCTGGGTTGGATTTGGCTTGTGTAGGAAAGAAGGTTGAGGGCGTGTGGATTTCTTATCTGTTGCTCTGTAACAAACCACTCCAAAGCTTAGCAACCTAAAGCAACCACTTCTTTAGCTCATGATTTTTGCTGGGTCAGCAGTTTGGGCTGAGCTCAGCTGAGTGGTTCTTCTGGTCTGAGCTGGGCTCGGCTCATCTCCGGTGGGCTCGCTGGTGCACCTGCAGTCAGGTGGTAGGTGAGCTGGGCTGCTTGTTGATGACAGTCTTGTCTGGGGTGGCCAGGTAACTGAGGCCGCTTGGCATGTGGTCTCTCCTCTCCAGTGGGCCAGCCCTGGCTTTCTCACAGGTGGTTACAGGGTTCCCAGGGCAGGGAGAAAACAAGCCCAAAGTGCAAGTGCTTCTCAAGTCTCTGCCTGTGTCCTGTTTGCTGCTGTCTTCTTCATTAGCGGGGGGTCTACTCCTGCTAATCAAATTCAATTACTTACCCCCAGATTTTTATTAAGAAATAATAGTTTATGAAACAAATATAGATAAAGAAAACAATGTCTACACTGCTGAATGATTTCTACATTTGCTTCACAATTTTACCATATAAATATAATTTTACTAAAGGCCGGCTATATCATTGCCAAAGCCGTGGGAGAAACCTCACCTCTGTTCAAGTTCAGCTGACCACAGGAGTCTCTGATCATTTGGGAGGATTTTAAGGTGCCAAACCCAAGAGCAAACCCATTATGCATCTTTGTTTCTGGCGTCCCCACCTTGCCACATCAGCTTCCTCGTTTCTGCTAAATGTGGACTGCATGATCTCTCAGAATGGACCTGTTAGATGATCCAGAAAGTTTTGCAAGTGAGAAATAAGGAAAACCAGTGATTTGGTGGTCATTAAAATATCTCAGTTTTTAAAAGTTGTTTTAAAACTGAAATCTGAGGATTCAGCCACTTACCGACAACCAGATGGGTGTTGTGGGTCCTTTTCCTCTAGCCAAGGCTCTTGGTGATGCTATTTTGTTGACCCGCAACTGCGGTTAATGGGTGAGGAGAGAATCAACCTCATGGGGACAGCTGTTTGCATGGGCGTTCGAATGCAGCAATTATTCGTAACGGGTCAGCATTGGATTAATCCCACCCGCAAGATTGTTCTTCCAGCCTCCATGGACACCCATGTATCTCAGAATGGGGCCTATTGAGTTCAAGAGCCTAAAACTGCAACCTCACGGGTGACACTTTCTTGCTTTTGGAAACATTTTTGTTACTGTCATGTGAGTGGACACATATACACACCTATCTCACTCTCTGTTTTGATCAGAATTTTTGAGTTGATGACTCCGTGTAAACATAAGTCTGATGCAAAGAGTAAAGCAGCTTTGGGTTTTCTCTCGAGAAATGTCTCATTTACACCTTTCCTTGGAGTGAGAGGAATAGCCAGAAAATTGCTTCAGGATCAAATGAGGGAAAGGTGTGCAAATGCTGCAGAAACCATTCAGTGTTTTATGGATGTGAAATAGGTTACAAGAAGGCTTTCCATTTCCTTTCTTTCTGGACCTCAATGGAAGCTTCTTTGTCCCAATAAAGCCAGTTGGAAAAGCAAGTGCCATTAGCTATGGGATTCTGAAAACAATCAAAGGGCCTGTGTCTTCTCTGTGTACGTGTACTTGCACGCCCAGCACTTTGATCACGTAGTTGTTGGTCAGTAACTTACAGTCAATAAATTAATGCCTTGCTAGTTTTCTTGGAGGTTACTGGTTTTATAGGAGGTTAAATGGTTTTATGGTGAAAGAGATTTGTGGCCAAGTAAATTGGAAAATGCTGGATTAAAGTCCCTTTATGATAGGAAAGATCAGAGCCTTTGTCTGCTAATATGCATTAGGAATATCCAAAGAAGGAATGCCATAAACAGCATTTCCCAAGCTTCTACTTGTCTGTGGACCTTTGGCAAGGACCGTCCCCCCCGGCTTTAGTGTTCCCTGGAGGTTCCTGGCTGATTGCTGTGGTTGTGAGTGGGTGCTTTCATTGTTCATGATTTTAGGGTGCTACAGGGCACTAAAGTAGACAGAACGGAGAATTCCCAGAGGATGACGAGGGAGAAGGGGGAGGGGGAAGAAAAGGATCATCCGCAAGGACGCACGGCTTCCACTGAAGAAACTGCGTGCTTCCTGGCCAAGTGCTGCATTGTATTCCCGTCAGTTGTCCGTCGTAGGGGCCGGTTGCCATGAATTTGGACAACTGACAACAGAAGAAGAAGGGGTTTGATGAGGCGTCTGGGTCTTGGTCCTGATTGCCTCCCACAGCGGGAGAGCAGAAGGCCTTTATGCCAGCCCACCCCAGGCTGGCGAGTCTGAGGCCCAAGGGAACACAGACCCCAGCAGGCACTTTCCAGAGCCCATGTTTCCACAGAGTTATTTCCGGAAGACTAGAGTCTGGCCTGAGAGAAGGAGAGAGGGCCCTGTGGGTTGGCCTGTGAAAGGCCTGGCCCAAGAGAGCCCCGCAAGGGACGGTAGAGCAAGGTGCTCTGGCGCATGGGGAAAGCTCCTACCTGCAGGGTGAGCCCTGGCTTCCAGGGCTGATTTGCCACTTCCTAACTCTGCCCTGGACAAAGCACGCCACCTCCTTGAGCCTCACATTGCGCACTTTCTAAACAAGCCTGACAGTCTGAGTCAGTGGGCGTGATGCTGATTCGTTAACAGTTTTGAAAGTGTGCAGCACGGTCCTTGGCACATGGTGGGTGGTCCTGACTGGGAGCTCTTGGAGAGCATGGGTGGTGCCATCTTATCCCTCCACACTGGTATACCTGGCACCAGGCCTGGCACAGAGCAGGTGCACAAAAAGTATCTCCTGAAGGAATGGATAGCTGAAATTGGTAGTTTCAGATGTAAGCGGTTAACAGCACAGTTAAAGAAAGTGTGCACATGTGTGTGTGTGTGTGTGTGTGTGTGTGTGTCAGAGAGAGAGAGAGAGGCAGAGAGAAGAACTCAATGGCAGAGTGACTGAACCTTTAGTAGTCAAGGTATATTCTGTGAAGAGAACAGCTGAAGAGAACTGTCTTTTGTGCATGTTCCTGAAGACGCCATGTGAATCAGACATTCTGCCACTAGCCATGGTCTGTGCTTTAGAAAGAGGGCATGCTTACAAATGCGATGGCTGCTGTCTCCATGGTCCCTAGGGTAATGAGGGAGAGATGGGAACTGAGGGCTCTGCCCTGTGAAGCTCTCTGCAGAGCTCAGCGCTACTAACACACTTCAGAACAGCCCGCTGCTGAACCTGTGCCGCAGTGTGGACTTGTTTTCTTTCCTGTATCCTTTCTTCTTTGTGGATAAAACCAGAATGGAAGGCTATAGACATAAACTGTGCAAATAAAATAACCTTGAGAGGAGGCTGCTCCAGCCGAAACTTACCGGCTCCTTGTTGCTATGGTTACTCCAGCAGGTCGCCCAGTGAGAACGGCTCTGCCAGCAGCAGCGAATCAGGAAAGCCCAGCTCTGGGGGGCACTCACCCGAGACTGTGATGGCACAGCAGAAAGTGGCGAAGGAGGAGGCACGGAAGAGAAATGGTGAGGCGCCTCCCCTGCCAAGCACCACCCCGGGCCCATCGCACACATGCATGTGCGCACACTCACCCACGTCAGTGTACTTTAACTCTCAGTTCTTCTGTCGTACCCCCAAAGACCGGGAGTCTCCTGCCTACCTCTCGTTGTATCACCTTACCCTCTGCCCTGAATTATTCTGTCTCATGCCCTCTGCCCCCTGTTCTTACGGAATTGTGCAGTGCCTAAGAAAAACCCTATGAATGAACTGATGTTTGGTTAGACATTTTTCTAATTCTTGGGTTAATTGATGTGATTTCTAGCATCAGGTCCACTAGGGCGGCAGGTCTCTGAAATGATGCTCTCTTGGACTGTCTCCTCATTTTCTTGCCCTGACTCCCCTGATAAGTTTCAGTGGGTAGGTCTATGCCGGTGAGTCCAAATATTGGAAATCCACCTCTCCCAGGAAAAACAACACAGTAATAAATCTGTCATCATAAAAATCAGCCTAAGCTTCTGCCTTTATTCTCAGGGAAACTTAACTGTTTAGTTTCTCTCCCTCCCTGTAAAGGGTTGGTGTCGGGTCTGTTTGTAAGTCATTGGAGTTACCTTATTGTACTGCGGCACCAACTATAGGTTGCACATTGTTGTCAGACACCGTTGTGCAGCCTGCTCCTTCTGATCCATCCTTTGTTCTGAAGCTCATCTCCACTCGGTCCTTCTAAGCATGATGCTGGCTGACAGGGGTCCCAGTGCTGCCAGTCAGATCAGGGAAAATTCCTTGTGGATTTTAGGGGATTATGGACGGAGTCCTGTAGAAATGCCAGGTGAAGAGGCAAACACTCTGGCCCTCTGGTTAACCGTGCTTCCTTCTAAAGGAATCTGATGAAGGACGGTTCAGGGACTTTTCTTGAAGCTAGCATAAGAGCACTCTTTTGTTTTCAAATGTCACTTACTTATCTCTTTTTTCTGACCAAAAGAAAGACTGGCACAACAGCTTTGTCTTCTGCAGGGAAAATATGGTCCTGCTCACATTTCTAGCTGTTATATAAAGCCCTTGTTTAAACTGTCACACCAGTTTGATTCTTGAGTTTTTTCTTCTCCTGAATTGCCCACGCCCTGGAACACAGAGAATGTGCTTCACTAGAACCAGGGGACGAGATGTGGGGTTTTCCTGGAATACCTCCCCTACCTGGGACCAGCAGAAATCCTGCCATCGGCTCTCTGCCAGGCCAGCTCCCAGAAGGCCAGAGGAGCTCTGTCTTCTCTTTCTTCCCAGAGCAAAGTGCTAAGGGAGATTGGGCAGAGAGTGAGACAACACTGGAAGGCCCTAGGGGAGAGCTGTTTTAAGTAAGTGCTGTGACTGCCAGCCCTACCCGACCAAGATGCCCCGCCTACTCCTCCTGCTCCCTCGCCTTCCTTCATTTCTATACTTCCTGGAAATGTATAAAGTCAAGTCAAAGTCCACTGTCCCCGAGATGCCCCGTCACCCACCCAGTCCTCACACGACCTTGAATAGCTCAGTGTGTGTCTTTCTCAGACATTTGTACTGTGCATACAACACACACACATCTTTGTTTTTTGTCGTATTGCATTGTTTTATTTTATAAAATGGGGTCAATGCACATATTGTTCTGTGCCCTTTTTCTTGCTTAAAAATGTGCAATATACAGACTCCTCTGTCAGTAATACACGTTTACAAGACGATGCCTTTCCTCTTCCCCCGTACATAATCTTTAGAAGAGGAGGGGGCAGAGCCAGTCCCAGACCCCCTCCCCACGCGGGCCGGTGAGACACTGGTGGGCTCTAAATGTTCCCGCTGACCTGCCCGTTCTTGTTCCTCCCCCGTCTCTGCCCGCCTCCTTATTCTGTTTAGGTCACTTTGATTATTTAAATATCAGGTTCAGAAATAACAACAGCTGGGTGCATGAATAAAATGCAATTACTGTGCCAGGTTGAGGTTTGAATGTGTTTGTTTTGCTAAAACGCCATCCTTTCTCCAGATTACTGTGCTTCATTGCCTTTTATTTTTGCCAAAAGTAAAACCAGTGAGTTTTCAGGGTTAGTTGCTTCTGTTTCACCACAAGTTCCCATTTAGTGACGTTTCAGTTTGAATTTTTCAGATAGAAATGATGGGACCAACTTGTTTAATGTAAAATTCACCAGAGGCTGAATCCCATCAGAATTCTGGGACAGACCTTCAGTGGCGCCCACACTCGTCCTTTTTATCAGAGGGCTCCACTGTGTCATAGTACTCGGTTAGAGTTCACAAAAAAAATCAACAATGTGTTTTGTTGAAATCGAAGATGAACCAAAGGAAGGAAGGAAGAAAATAACAATGGAATTGTGGAGAAAACTGAAAGGTGTGTTTCCATCACACTGTCAGCTTGCAAAAAGCACTTCATTGTGTGGATGTGGCCTCTGAGAATAGATTGTTCTCCAGCTATGGAATATTCAGATACTGTTGTTTTATGGCTCCGTATCCATTCTAGAGGTTAGGGTTACTGAGGTTGACTAATAAGCTAATTAGTGCATCAGGCTGTCGTTCTAAAGCTGTTCCTGTTTGTCACCAGGTTCTTGTATCTGTGGCTTCTAATTTTCCACTTTTGTGAAAATAAGAACTTTAAAAGGAAAAGACACTGTCCCTAGCAACATGGCTGGTGTGGGTCCTTGTGGCTCAGTGGCTTCATACGTTATTGTGGCTGTGAGGCGATTTTAGACTCTGTTTCAAGATGATGTTTAAATCTAAGTGGGAAAGATAGGTGTGAGAGCTAGGATTTTGAAAGCAAAACAGTCTGGCATTTTCTCAAACAAATACAGACACAAACTTCTGAACCAAAACCAATGTCACCTTAGAAAGAGTGTTTTCCAGAAAAGAGTTTAAACTGAGTTCAAGGTGAGAACATAATCTATGTTTGCATCTTCAGTCCTGTAGGAGCAAACCCACCACTCTCGGTCCTGGAGGCACCCCAGGCGGGGCTCCCGTCTAGGCAGGGCTGGCGCCTCATCTCTGGGGCAGGTGAGGCAGGAGGACAAGAAGCAGAGAGTTTCAGGAGCGAATTACTTCTTTCTTAGCAGGAGCCCTTAAGGACTTGTCAAAGGTATTAGCTCAGAAACAAGTTCCGTTTTCACTCTTTCTTTGCCTTCCCAGAGTGAAGACTTGCTCATTACTCGATAGGCAACACCAGAGGGCAGTGGTTCTGGTTGTAGATTGTTTGTCTTTGAGCTTTAATAAAGATTCCAGAAAGAAAGAGTGCCTTGTGTTTAAGAGCATTTTCTGCCTCAAACGGGGGGTTTCTCCCCGTGCCAGGTCAAATGTGAAGAAATGAACTCTCCCTTGCCAGGCTGTCTTACAGAAGCTAAAACTGACATGCTGTGCAGCCTGGCAGCTGCAGTTAATAATACTGTGCTGCATATTTGAAAGTTGCTAAGAGAGTAGATCTTACAAGTTTTCATCACAAGAAACAAATTTGCAACTATATGTGGTGATGGATATTAACTAGACTTCTGGTGATCATTTCGTAATATGTATAAATATTGAATCATTACGTTATACACCTGAAAATAATATAATGTTCTAAGTCAATTATACCTCATACCAAAATAAAAAATAAATAAAACCACTTCTTAAACGTAAAAAAAAGAAATCCAGATAAGACACAACTAGATATGGGATGGTTGTTTCATGGCATGGACTGTAATGATGGACCTAAGACGCTTCCTCAGCTTAACTGTGGCCCTTTCCTTCAGCATTCTCCCGTGCTTTTGTCTTTGGATACTAATTACATGTTAAATATTCCCATGAACCTGCTGGACTCACACAACATTTTAATGTAACACCTTTAATATATTTTTCCATACAGTCTTTTTTGAGAGGAGGATAACTAATTATTTTTCTCTTAAACGATCCTGTGGGAATTATTGTGCAAATCTGAATATGACTTTTTTGAGAGTCAGGATGAAAAAGAACTGTAGTTTCTACAATTTCCAGGGTGTCCTTTTGCTGTCCCATTAGAGTTATGCCCCCCTTACCCTGTCCACAGAGTGAGGGGAAGGGTGTCACAGCCCAGAAGCAGTCAAGGAGGTGGGAACAAGACTGGTGCGTTCAAGAGGCTGTTCTAGCTGGAGCAGAGGGAATGAGGGGAGAGGCAGGAAGTGAGCTCAGCAAGGTGGCTGGCCAGATCGCACAGGACCTTGTCGGCAGTGGTAAAGACTCTAGTTTTCTTCTGAGAGAGGTGAAGCCCTCAGAGAGTTCTGATTGGAGGAGTACTGTGATCCGGTCACCTTTTGAAAAGGTGATGCACCCTGGCTGCTGGTGGAGTGTGGATTTGGGGTGGGAGGACAAGCGTGGAAGCGCGGATGAGGCACGCTGTTCAGGAGGTGTACGGGTTACTTATCACTGTGTAACAAATTACCCCAAAACCTAGCAACCAAAATGACAGCCTGCATTTATTATCTCACAGAATGTCTGTGGGTCAGCAATTCAGGAGTGGCTTAGTGAGTGGTTCTGGCTGAAGAGTATCTCATGAGATCTCAGTCAAGATGTTGGCCTGGGGCTGGCCCGGTAGTGTAATGGTTAAGTTTATATGCTCTGCTTCAGCTGCCTGGGGTTTGCAGGTTTGGATCCTGGGCATGGACCTACACACCACTCATCAAGCCATGCTGTGGCAGCATCCCACCTACAAATTACAGGAGGACTAGCTCAGGGACAGTCTTCCTCAAGCAAAAAATGAGGAAGATTGGCAACAGATTTTGGCTCAGGGCCAATCTTACCCACAAAAAAAGAGGAAGAAGAAGAAGAAGAAGATTTTGGACTGGGCTGTAGTTGTCTAGAGGCTTGACCGGTCCTACAGAACCCACTTACAAGGTGGCTCACTCACATAGCTGTTGGCAGGAGTCTCAGTTTCTTGCCCCAGGGACCCCTCCATACGGCTGCTTGAGTGTCCTCATAACATGGCAGCTGGCTTTCCCCTGAGTAAGTAATCTAAGAAAGAGCAATCTAGAAGCCATGATGTTTGTTTTTATTTTTGTTTTGCTGAGGAAGATTCACCCTAAACTAATGTCTGTTGCCAATTTTTTTTTAAGACCCAGCCTTGGAAGTAACACACTGACATTTTTGCAATGTCCTGTTGGTTACACAGGTCAGTCCCATTCATTGTGGCTGTGAACAGCAGGAAGAATTACTGATACTGGGGGCCATCTTGGAGGCGGCTACTGTAGGTGGCTTTCATAGCAGATGTCAGGTGGGAGATACTGGGGGCCAGGCGAGTGTTACCCAGCAAAACTCCACTCTAGAAAGATATGTGCATCTGCTTAACACGTCTGAATAGAGATTCTCCTCTGTCACTGGCTGCTTGGTGGCCTGCTATTTGCAAATAAGACCACAGAACAAAAAAATACTCTAATTGTAACCCATTGATAGACTCTGAGGTGTTTTAGCCACTTTGTATGATAACAATTTACTCGGCTTAATTTGACAAATCTTCTGATAATCTTTATGATAAGTGACAGAATGATACAAACTATGTGTTTCTTGATAATTTAAAGAAATCCCAATCTTTTGAGCAGACAGGAGGAAAGATGAGTATACTTCTATTCCATTCATTTTCTATATAACACCTATTTTGCTCCTAAATTGCCTACTGGGTTAGTTGTTTGAACAGGCTTAATTTCTCTCTCACCGAGCTGTGCTCAACAAGCTGTCACTCTTATAGTCACTTAATGGGACTGTGCTTTAAGAACAAGTAAATCAGCAAGACACCACTGGCCCTGGCACTTCCGTCTGCTGAGTGATGGAGCGCAAGGCGGGCCGGTGTCTTTCAGCGCCCACAGCCGAACCGTCTGTCTGAGGAGAATTCGTCTAAAAGAGTGTAGGTGGAAATCACTCTCTTCGGTTAGGGGAGTTGTCTGCAGCTAAATTCATTTCTCTGGGTGTTATTTCTTAGCTTTCTTTTGTTTTAGACAAATGAAAGAAACCAAAACCCAACTCATTGGAGAAGCAGCCTTTAGAAAGAAAAAGAATCAAGTGTCAGCAGCACTTCCTGTGGCGAGTTGAGCAGGGAAGACTTGTTACCTCAACATCACGCAAAAATGAGTAGCTGTGGTGGCAGAGACTGAACTGAATGCCGCTATTCTATTGATTCCCGTATTTTAAGAATGGTTGCCGAGTTTGGCCAAATTGCGCCTTTCCCATCTCCAACTCAAACATAGAGAAAAAATTTATTTTTTTCAAAAGCATTTTGTCAGTTTGGAAAAAATGGTTTTTACTGTTTAAATTCAAACCTTTAAAATTCTTTCTTACTCATTGATCATGCAATGGAGGGATGAATAGTTTGATCTTAAATTTAAAAGAAATTCGCCAACAGTGAGTCCTAGCACAGAACCAGACACTGCTGTTCCTGAGGTCATTTTGAGTGAAGTACTGACCTGGGCTGTGAGCCTTACGTAAATCTCCCCGTGGTCGTGCGGCTCCCCTGTGACCATACAATCCGTGTGTTTCTCTTGTGCTTTAGTGCCAGCAAGCGATGAAGAGGAAGGAGCAGTTCTTTTTGACAACTCCGGCAAGGCGGCTGCCGAGCCCTTTGACACGTCTTCTGGATCTGTGCAGCTCATCGCTATAAAGCCCACAGCCCTCCCTGTGGTGCACCCCTCTTCGGACAGGAACCAGGAGGCAGCAGTCCTCAATGGGGAGGTGAGCGCCGGAGGCCCCAGGGCGGGGGGAGCCGGTGCAGCCAGACCTCGGGGACTCTGGACTGAGGAGCAGCCCCTGGGAACACCGGGGCAGGGCGGTCCAGAGGGCTCCAGAGTAGAGGGTGCAGCGGTCATTCTCACCTCTGCATGAGCAGGCCTTCGTGGAATGAGTCAGAACACAAGTCGCCCTAAGCGAGTTTGTTGGATGATGCTTTGGGGGCATTTTTTCACCTTTGTTAGAGAGCCCAGAGGGGGCTTTTTAAAAACAATGGTTATGAAGGGAAGTATCAGAAATTCTACCTCCCCGTCCTGTCACAAGCACAGCTGTCTGCCTTTCTTGATACCACTCTTAAACTGTTCATTATGGATTGTCAGTTGTGGGCATGGGAGGGGCTGGAACTGATGGGGAACTAGAGAAGATACTGTCATGGGGACAGGGACGTAGCCCACTATATGAGCTTTCAAATGACTTTGCTCCTTTTTGCTGGCTTGAAATAGCCCTTTGTCTGCTTCCAGGAGGATATCAGTGAATATCATGATGTTAATCAATTCTCCTAAGAGTGTGAAAAAAATTTGTAACATACACTGGAGAATGATGATTTCACCAAAGAAAAACAGAAGGATGGATGGATGGATGGATAGATAGATGGGTAGATAGATAGATAGTGGCAGTTACAGGAGAGCAGGAGAGCAAGTTGGGTAACACTTATCTGCCATTCCTCCATCTTCAGAATGGTCGCTGGGCTGAAGATGTTTGTGAACCTTTAAGAACATGCATATGGAACCCGCACGTGAACACTTGCATTGCATGTGTGTGCACACACATACTTACTCGAGTTTTTCTCTCTTGTCGAGCTGTCGTGTCGATTGTTCATTTCATTTGTTTATACTCTGCTATCGCTACCTGCAATGGGTGGGAGAATTCCATAGTTTTAAAGTCTTTTCCCACCACACCTCAAGGAACATGCCATGGCCTTGTACACCTGGCCATTGTAAACGGACATGAGGGGCTTGTCCTCATCCCCCCATCCAGGCCTTGGATGAAGGCCTTTTACAAACCTGATTCAGGAAGCTCCTCTTCTTTCTGGACAAAAGGACTGAACTGGCCTAAAGGTGTGACGGGTTGAGGTTCGTCAGTTCTTAAGAAGAACTTCACTGGTTGTAGACTTACAGAGCACATCTGTGCCAAACTCCTCATTTTTCAGACAAAGAAGCTGAAGCCAGAGGGGTCAAGTGGCTTGCTCAAAGTCACACTGCAGGTATGGTGGCAGCATGACGTTCAGGCCCCCCAGCTCCCTGTCCAGTGTTCTCTCCCCGTCTCTGACTTACTGTCACCCATCAGTGAAAAACAGCGTTGTGCTAGGTGGTACCTAGACTTACTGTGGTCGTCATTTCTCAGTGTGCACAAATATCGAATCCTTACGTCGTACACCTGAAACTAATATAATGTTATGTGCCACTTATACCTAAGTTAAAAAAAGTTGAGTTGCTAATCAAATCATAATGATTAACATGCCCAAATTTTAAATATACGTTTTGTTGTGGTCTTTCAGCTGGAGAGGTGGCTTTACACTCACAAGGGCAGATTTTGTTCTCTTATTGAGGTATAACATACCCTTAAAGGCAGTGTAGATATAGTCCAAACTAAAAGTCTTATTTTGATATGAATGCATATCAAAATTGTGTTTTTATTGGTGTTTTTAGAACTCCATAGTCCATGGCAAGAGAAAAAAGAGAACTTCTTTTCAAATGTACTTCTTCTTAGTTTGAGAAAGGCTTTCAAATACTTCGAGAGAATTTTATAGGGTATTTAATGCTGATGAGAATTTTTTTTTTTTTAAAGATTTTTATTTGTTTCCTTTTTCTCCCCAAAGCCCCCCGGTACATAGTTGTATGTTGTTCATTGTGGGTCCTTCTAGTTGTGGCATGTGGGATGCTGCCTCAGCGCGGCCTGGTGAGCAGCGCCATGTCCCTGCCCAGGATTAGAACCAACGAAACACTGGGCCGCCTGCAGCGGAGTGCGCTAACTTAACCACTTGGCCACAGGGCCAGCCCCCACTGATGAGAATTTTTTAATCTTATGTTTAGTCCGATAAATTATCATCCCCCCAAAAAAACAAAGAAAAGAAAAATATCAATGTGCTTAAAAGAGTATGGACTCTCAGCCATGCTGCCAGGATTTGAATCCCAGCTCTTCTACTTCCTGTTGGTGTGATTTGGGGCAGGTTAGTTCATTTCTCTGTGCTCAGTACTCCCATCTGTAAAATGGGCTATTGTGAGGCTCAAGTGAGGTAATATACATAAAAGACTTAGAACAGCGCCTAGCACACTTATTGTGTACACGTTCTTGTTATTATCAATTAGTCAGTCAATGAGCAAGGATTCATTCATCATGGACTTGATGCTGCTTGGCTGTATAATTTGGGAACCTGTTATCACACCCACTGAATCTTTCCTTAGGCACAATTCTGCCACCAGACATGCCAACCCAGTGATTAGAGGCCTCTGGTGTTGTCACTCATGCACTAGTAACTGCTCTGGATAGGACCCTCTGCCAGCACAGACTCAGATGATGGCTGCTGTGCCTGGGTCTTTTCATCCCAGTTTGGTGATAGGAATGTCTTGGGGACAGATCCCAGATCTTGGCTAAATTCAACATACCACTCCCTTTTTTGCCAGGCCTGCCACCCTGTCACAGAAGGAGAAGAGACAAGCGTTTTCCCTGTCGGGAGTGGGTGCTCGCCACATGCCGGTAGTTGAGCAGTGGCCCTTGCTGGCATTTGGGTTGGAGAAGAGTGCCACCTGCTCTCTGTCTCTTGCTGCTTTGTGGCATTTAGGGTGGATTATCTTACAGTTTTCTTCCCTCTTCCCTTAGGGGTGGCTTGTTTAAGAAGCACCCCTGAAGCCATGAATTTTCCTTTTATGAGTTCAGGAAAATTCTTTGAAAGATTATTTTAAAGAAAGCATAATAACAACATAGAAAGTGCAGACGTTAAGGGAAAGCTCACTCTAATTTCACTACCCTAACACATCATCTGGTTTTTGCACCTTCTCTTCAAGCTCTTGATCAAACCCACGTGTATTGAGAATCTCATCATATGCAGGCTTACATCTTGTGTTGGAAGCATTGGTGTGTTCTTGTCTTTCTGAAGGTCGTTGTCAATGACGTGGTTGAGTAGGGATACCATTGATTGGAAAACTAATCTCCCGTTGTTCAAACCTTCCAGGTGTTTCTTGGTTTTAGTTTTGGTTTTGGCTATTATAAATAACACTACAATGAATAATTTCACGTTACTTTTAAAAACTTTTTATTTTGAAAGAAGTTTAGACTTGCAGAAGGGTTGCAGCAATAGAAGAGTTCCCATATGCTCTTCACCTCACTACCCCTAAGTTACCAGCTTAAATACCAGAGAATAACGATCAAACCCAAGAAGTGGACATTGGTACCACACCGCTGACTGATCTACAGACCGAATTTGAATTTCACTGGTTTTCCTGCTAATGTCCTTTTCCTGTTCCAGGATCCAGTCCTGGATCCCACATGGCATTTTCTTGTCTCCTGAGTCTCCTCCAGGCTGGGACAGTCCCTTAGTCATTCTTTGTGACCCTCCTTGGTCTTTCATGATCATTACTCTTTTGAAGAGGATTGACAGTGACTATGGAGAATGTCCCTCAGTTCGGGCTTGTCTGATGCTTCCTTGCGGTTGGATCGAGGCTGACGTTTCTGGCGTAACTGTGGAGCCGTGTGACCTTTTGTGGCCGCGGCCTCAGGAAGGGATCGATCCTGATATGTCTGATTGCTGGTGATGTTAACTTTCATCTCACACTTTGAACCTCTCTTGGAATGTTGCTTTGGGAGAGATTGCAGAAATGGTATTCCTGGCTCAGAGGATGTCATGCCAGCTTCTTCTCTGCTAGTTTCCTCAATGGCAAGCAGAGTGAGGGAAGTATGAAGACTTGCGAAATGCTATCAGCTTAAAAATATCATTAGGGCCCGGGTTGGGGAGCTCTTTGAAAAAGTTAGAAAAAAAGATGTCCCCCAGTTTATGTTTCTCCCAGTGCTGTAAAAATAAAGCATCTAAGATGCAGCCTTGTGTTAGCGAAACTTTGGCCTCATACTGTAGGTTGATATATATCTTACCACTGGGTGAATTTTTCTTTTATGAATTACGGGAAATTACTTTAAAGAAAACATAATAACAGCACTACACATGGTTCTGTTAATCTAGTGGGCTGATTACAAACAGCAGTAGTGTTTCTCCCTCTCGTCCAGTAAGTAGCAGGCAGATTTCACTGTGCAGCTCCCTTCGTGGATGTGGCATCCTCATTGTTTATCTATTTAGCATAGTCGTCTGCTTCTTTCTTTGACAGACCAGCAGGTATGTTGGCCATGTTCCTTTCTATCAGACCAGACTGGCTTTGTCCTATAGAACCAGAACTGGTTGCCATTAGTGGCCATACAAGGGTTCAAAATCACCTGTCTCTCAAGAAAGTTAGAGATTGACAGAAATAAGCTCTCAAATGCAGGTGAGAGAGTGGAGAGACCTCAGGAGCAGGCTGTCTGGAGGCTCCCCTTCCCACCCCATCAATCCCAACTCAGCCTCTGCAGGAACTGGCTGTCTCACCAGCTGGGCACAGCTAAATAGCCAGCGGAGGCGTGGGGTTCCTCAGGGCTGGAGCTGGAGTCGGGGCACCAAAACCAGCTGGCCTGCCAAGTCAGAGGCTCCCACATGGGAGAACTGAAAGGGTTTAGGCGGGATTAAGGCCCACCCGACAAAGCTAAGCGTGGAGTCAGGCCTCCGCCTGAGCAGACTCAGGTGGACGAGCAGGAAGGAAGCCCTGATGGAAGGTCTCAGTTGACTCAGGGAGGGCCGGGCTGCACGCGGTTTGTGGCCCACTGTTGTGGGCTGGTCATGGAAGGGGGCACAGGTGGGTCTGGCTGGCTCAAGGACGGGGTGAAGCCTAGGATGGCTTTTCCAGGAGTTGTGACCCTTGGTGCAAGCTTCCCACTGTCAGCGTGCGTGTTCGGGGGTGGCCTGAGCCTCTCTCTCTCCCCAGGTGGACAAAGCCCTGAAGCAGAAGTCCGACATCGAGCACTATCGGAACAAGCTGCGCCTCAAGGCCAAGAGGAAGGGTTACTACGACTTCCCGCTGGCGGAGACGAGCAGAGCTCAGCCGGAGAGAAAGAAGATGTACGAGAAAGCCCCCAAGGAGCTCCAGCACGTTTTGGACCCAGACCCAGGCCTCTGTGCCCCGTTCGCTGAGTCTAGAAGCAGGTGCGGTCTCCGAGGGGTGCTCCGAGGGTCCCGTACGTTAGCAGCATGTGGCGGAGGTGTACCCGTGATGCGGTCCCCGTCCTTTCCTGTGACCTCAGGGCTGATCTTCGCAGGCTGCTCCTCTGGACCATGCTGGTCTGTGCGAGCCCGTGCTCCCTCATGAGTCTGGAAGAGAAAAAAATTGAAGCCGTTAAAAAAATACTTGGGTAAACAACCATAATTGTCCCTTAGCTTAAACGATGTTTTCAAACCAGTAGCTGTTTCAGAGCTGGGTAAAAATGTAATTATCACCTGCCTGGTTATGCAACTTCCAGATCAAGGGACATGGTAGGATTCAGTTATTCAGTGGCTCTTGCACAGGAATGCCAGTGTGCCACCTCCCCTTCTCAGTCCGCTCCAGCGAGGGCTCCCCCAAGGCCTGCTGGGCTCCGTGCGGGTCCATTGCTGTAGCTGTGCTCGTTGAGCCGACGTTTACCATCGCCCACTCCGTGTCAGGCATGTGTGCCGTGCTGGTGCTCGCACAGTCACCTGTGCTACTTCTCATTCACGAATTCAACTCGGTCGACGTTGACGGTGGACATCACAGCCCAGTCACTGCTCTTGTGGAACTTAAGGTCTGATGGGAGAGAAAGATAACCACCCCAAAAGTTTGTTACTCACAAGTGCAATGGGTGTTTGAAATGTGATGGGCTGTGACAGTCTAAAACGGGGGCTCAGCCCCGTGGTTTGAATTGGCATCCTTGAAGCTTTGTTGCTAACTAAGCAGAGTGACCTCACCTTCCGGGTGAAGGGGTAGCGGTTAGCAAAGCTAGATGTGCCCGTCTTCCTTCTTTTCCTCCCCACCCCGAAGCACTTGCTCAGAAGCATTTTCATGGTTTGAGACCATCTCTTTAGATACACATTCTCCTTGGTGACAGCCCCTTGGCTCTGAGCCTGCTAGCACTCTGCCCCGCAGCCCTGGCAGAGGCGCCCTACGCACATGGGGAGAAACAGGACAGTTCCTGGCCCGAGTGGGGATTTATTAAAAGCAATAATGACTATGTGACAGGTGTGGATGGAAGCCACAAAGTCAAACCAGGAGATGGGGCTAAACTTTATGAATGGACATAATTTATTTTCAATAGAGAGAAGGGGGAATTGCACCCAGCGCTTCATTTGCCATGCTTCTGATGAGGCCTGGTGGGTGTGGCAAGCTGTTGATCTAACGTCACCCTGTGACAGGGGTCACAATGTATGTGTCACCAAGTTGATAACTGTGGAAAAAAGAGAAGAAAAGATTGGGATTTCTGGGAGGCTGGGCATTCTGGTGCTTTTCCTCTGAGCTTTTGGCTCTTCACGTCAGGGTTGGTCTTTCATAGACTGATGAGGGGACTTGTTTTCCCAGGTTCCCTGCTGACACTCGGAAAATGGGTCAGAGATCACGTGCAGCTTGGAAGTTATTGGAGAAATAAATAAAAATTTTAGTTAAGTCTTTCTGTAAGGAGAATGAGCACAGGCTTTTCCTGTAGAGATGCGTCTCCACAGCTGGGCATATCTTCGGGCCAGATTCTTAAGGCCCTCTGACAGCCTGCTGATGCTGTGAGTGTGTAGTCCATTCTCAGTAAATATCTGTTGAAGAAATGACTGAATGACTCTAAAGCACCAAAAATAATATTAAAATTTTTTTTGATCAGTTAATGGAAAAATACGGATACCCACAAACCAGATGAGGTGGGCGTAGGAATGGAGGCCAGATCAGCGGAGGTGGGGTGGAGAGGAGGATTAACAGAGAAGGAGTGTGGCAGGAGGCAGTGAGCGCTGAGGTGCTGTTCTTGTCAGTGCTGCGGAGGCTGCTGCCGCGCCCACCTGTGAGCTCAGGGGAGAGAGACTTGCCTGCTGTGTGCTGCCACCAGTTCGACTCTCCAGAGCTTCTGCTCTCGGTGACCTTGCACCGCAAGGCACACGTGAGGGCATCATTCTCTGGTCCAGAGTTGGCATCAGTAACCAGAATTTCCCCTGAGACCTAAATTAAATCAAAGACAAAGTTTAGATTCCAAATGTTGACTTATCCCCATATGTTTTAAGAGTTTTCACAGATTTTTTCTTGAGGGTCAGAAGAACACCCCTGTTTTTATGTTATCAACTCTTACCTAGAAACACAAAGTATATAATATAAAGGCCGACACTGTCAGAGGCTGCCTGGACCCTCCGCTCCCACGGCTCCTGTGGCGGGCAGCAGCGTCCTGCTTACTGCAGACATCTCTGACTCCGCCTTGAGGGCTTTTTCCTGGTGGCCCCTGAGCAGAAGTGTCAGGTGCTTGACGTTCTGGAGCAGCCTCAGTCAGTGACAGATGGGAACTGATGGATAAACACCCCACGAGAGAGCTTCGAGGTGTAAGCTGTGCTGTGTAATAATCACATTTTCTAGATTCCCTGTTTGATGATTTGATGTCTGGGGCCTCGCTGACCCCGAGGAAGCTGTCCCTCCCAGGACTGGGCCACCAGTTCCTAGAGACAGTAAAGGGCTCCCCTGCAAGTGCACCTTTCATATGGGACCCAAACAGGCCAGCGCCAAACCCCAGCCACTTCCTTTACATGGGCTCTCACACTCTGGGCCCTCGTCCCCCTGCCCTAACTACCTGAGGGCCAGGTACCAGACAACTAGGGACGGCCCTGTGCCCCAGAGTCTGCGAAATTCTCCTACAACCCAATCCCAAGCCTGCTGACCATGCCCTGCCCATTCCTTCCCACGGAAACCACAATAAAGCCTCTTGCCCACATTTCCCCCTTGCTCCCACTGCCTGGTGACCAACCTGCTGCTTCCCTCGTGGCTCTGTGGCATGGTGCCTCCCTTCCTCTCAGGATCTGTGAGTATAACACGCTTTCTTTTTGTTGGCGGGCGTCTCCTGATTATTTGTCTTGCTGTATCTTCATAAAATCAGACCATTACATGGGAAAACACCTGTCTGCCGTACTCCTCCAGTGAGTTTGAGCCATATGTCCCCAAACACTACTCTGCTCTGTAGCACACCCTTTATTGGCCTCCTTTCGTTCCCTCCCTCAGTTTCCCACTTCCCAACTTATGCATCCTGGAACCCTCTCCCAAGTAAACTGGAGAGCCCAGCCTACGGCCATAACTCATAAAGACAAAGTTGCTCTCGTGGAAGCGAGGCCTCTTCCTCCTTCTCAGTGGCTCCATTCCATCTTTATGGAACCCTAGGGTTCCACAGAACACAGTTTGGGAACTGCTTTCTTAACCTATAGTGGGAGTAAAAAGCCCCTAAAAGCCCAAATAAAATTTGTCATTATCTACCCAGCAATATTTTCAGGGGTAAAAAACTTACTTTTCAAATTTGAAAGTTTTAAAATTTATTAAGTTTTAAAGAATATAGCAAAATGCCAACAAGAAATGAATATACCTAATGGAACTCTGATTAAAATACGTAATTTCTCTACCTGAGAGCTTGATTTATTTCTAAGTGGTTGCTTGCACACCAGGCACATGTTGGTCAGTTGAGATCCACGTTAAACAGCAGACTTTGAGCTTTGCATCCTGATGGAACGTTGTCTCTGATGGACAAGGAGACAGGCGTGCACTCCAGGATCTAAGCTCTCACCCACAGTCATGATTCTTGAAAGGGCTTACACAGTCTCACAGTCTCACTGTTGTATTTCTGGTACTTCCAAAATAACCTACTTAGATGTCAATTGCTAATCCTAGTGTTTACTCCCCCACCACCTTTATTAATAAATCTTTTCTAAATGGGCTAATTGGCAACCTCAGGACAGCTGTGCAGTCTGCTTTTTCAAAAAATGATTTGTAATTAGGTCAAGGGTGAGAATTCTTTGGGGTCTGGCTTGAAGTGTGAATCACTCAGAACAGACTCTCTCACAAGGTTGCGCTCCATTCCTAAAGGAAGCTTATACTGCTGATCTAAAGTCATCCCCCATCCTCGTCACCTCTGTCATATCTCTTTTTCTTCATATCACTTATCACTCTCTGAAATTCTCACATACTTGTCTGTCTCCCTCACTAGGATGTGAGCTCCAGGAGAGCAGGGCCATGTCTCTCCTGCTCACTGTGGGTCCTTGTCATCCTCCACAGTGCTTGGTGCATAGTAGGCACGCAATCGATATTGGATGGATCAAAGGATGGATGAACGGATGAGTGGACAGAATAACAGATGAGCCCCAAATTGCCTCTTGGTTTGTGGCTTCTTAGCCCGGAAGTGAATCCACTGTGGTGAAGGTAGAAGAGAAAGTCTGTGAGCAGCCACAGTATTAAGCTGCTCATTGGCCACAGGGCTTATTAACACATCCTGGAACCCTCTGTGGGAAATCAGGAAGATTACAAGGTACCGGAGGCTGCCGAGTCAATAGTCGACAAGAGCAAGTTTGTTCCTCCAATGTTAGCTGTCTTAGGGGGTCAAAGGAGAACCCCTGGCCTTGCCGTCAGCAGAACTTTAGATGAGGTTCAGGGTTGCAATTGATTATGGTTACCTACTTTCCATATGAAAAGAGCATTTACAATTCAGCCAAATGGTTACAGCATCTGGAAAGAAAAAAATCTTTATTCCACTATTTCCGTGGTCCCTGATGGCGGGGAACAATGCCATCAATTCTGAGATTTGCACGGCAAACCCAAATCCCTCATTGGCTGCTTGCAGTTTGGATCAGTGGAGAATTCCATCTGTCAGGGCATTGCTGCATCGTAACAGTTGTTGAATTTTCTTCAGGCAACAGATGAAGAACTCTGTCTCCCGAAGCCGGCAGTCTCTGAACAGCCCGAGTCCGGGGGAAACGGAGATGGACCTTCTGGTGACTCGGGAGCGACCCCGGCGTGGGATCCGGAACAGCGGATACGACGTAAGTCCCTGGTGGCCAAGGTGAATGCCAGCTTTGCTTTCCCCCGAAAGCAAAGGGATAGAGCATCCCACAGTGTTTCAGTTTACTATATATTTGTGGAATTTAAGAATGCGCTAAAGTGTTTTCTATTTTATTATTCCTGATTACCTGTTTTGCAGAGTAAGACTACTTGGAATTGTCAGAGTGACAAATTATTGCTAAAAGGATCTTGATTTCTAAATGGAACCATTTTATGAATAGTACATTATTGACCTGAAACTCAACAGCGATTCTAAATATCCTTAATTTTTTTCCGTCTGTCCTTAGAAGCTCAGTAGGAACCATGGCTGTGGGTTAGAATGCCTTAGAACGCAGGCTTCTTTTCAATCCATAGCAATGTTGAGAAGTTGGATTTGTTCCTGGTTTCATAACTCCTCAATATGCCATGGAAACAATGAGATGTCCCACAGAGCGATTCGGTGATTTCACATGATGAAGCACACGCTTAACGTGCAGCGATGCCTCTAAACCACAAGACTCTTCTAAACCCACCAGACGTCCCCAAATGATGAGTTACGATTTGGTGCCTCCTGCAAAGTTGTTTACATCCTGTCACATGTAGCTGCACCCATGAAGGATACTATGCCGAGGTGTCCATAATGCTTACCCTGCCCCAGAATTTCAAATGGTCTTGAATATACATTTAGGTTTTATGAAAAATGTTTCTTTCCGGGGCCAGCCTGGTGGCCTAGTGGTTAAGGTCACGTGTTCCACTTTGGCGGCCCAGGGCTCGCAAGTTCAGATCCCCGGTGCAGACCTACGCACCACTCGTCAAACCACGCTGTGGCAGCATCCCATGTAAAATAGAGGAAGATTGGCAACAGATGTTAGCTGAGGGCCAATCTTCCTCACAAAAAACAAAAAGTTTCTTTCCCATTCTCCTAAAATGTTTCTCTAATTACAAATAAAAACATTTTTGTAACAAGAGTTATGATTTGAACATGTCTGGATAAACTTTTGTTATAATTTCTGAGGTTGTAATTTGAATGACAGCCAGTTTCTTTGCTATACTATGCTAATTGGAAGCAAGGAGATGTTTTTCCCCCTAAGGATTGGTCATTGTTTGCCACAAAAGCTTAAAGTGGGATTTTTAATGGTCCAATTAAAAACAGAGAGACTCTACCTAATTTGAATTTCTAATTACCTTCCTTTCATTTAAACTTGATTGTGTTGGTGGTAATAGCCTTATCTTTTATTTCTTTTTCCTTTTTCATATAAAACAATTTGATAGTTTAGTTTTATAAAATTTGAGATGCTTTGGGCAAATTTTTTTTCCTCCAGGTGAAATTATTCAATGTTAATTTTTTTCCTCATAGAAATATTTCTTATACCAAACTCGGTCATCAATTTGATAATCGGCCTGTGGTTAAAACTCAGGCGTTTGAGTTTTCTGATTAATCTCTCCACCACTAGTGAATATTCTTCCCGGATGCTTGTAGTTTGGGGAACTTTCTCTTCTGCTCCGGCATACCTGAGGTATGATGAGATTCTTAATTTATTTCAAGATTGGTATGAATAGATTTCTTGTGAGATTCTAGGCACAGATGTTTTTACAGTTTGAGGAAATAGGCCACAGGTTTCCCTATTAGTCTTGAAAAGGGCACATTGCAGATTTTTTTAACCATGCCATGACTTGTCATACTCACTCACCACTTTTGGAATGTTGTGTTAGTAAATCACCCTGAACAGTAGAAGGAGAGAGAGGGTTTCTAAAAGGAGGTTGCTCACCTCTCACAGACGTGTATAAATATTCTAATTACAGATTACTTTAGGGGGAGCCTACTTCATTCTAATAGATTTTCTTTAAATATACTTTCCTTTGAGAAGTGCACACGATCTTAAAAACATAAGCAAATAGGAGTTTCCTTAAGAGAAGATGATCATCTTGGGAACAATTTTAAGACTTTAGGCTGTTGACTGTAAGAATGAAATTGCTTCCTGTGTCTCTTCCTGTGCCTTTTATTCTAGTCACGTGACAAGTAGCTGTCATTTACTGACTGCACACTATAGACGAGGTCCTGTTCTGGTTTTGTTATGTGTGTTGTCGAATTGAATTTGCATAGTCACCAGTTGGTAGGTCCTCTCATTATGCTCATTGTATAGATGAGGAAACCAAGGCACAGAGCAGTTACGTAATTTGACTCCCTGACTCCAGTGCACCCACCACTATACATCTGTCTTCACATAACGTAATACGTGTCCTGTATTTCTGGTCTCTCAGAGAGGCTATATGTCAGGTCTCACAAGATTTCTTGCGTGGAAATCTCACAGAAGGAAAATATGGACCAACAGATACGGTAGAGAAAGAAGAGAGTCATAGTTTTAAACAACACATTTATTTTCTCAACTCTTGATTTTCCAAAAATGCCCAGGCACTCCTGGCAAAAGAACCCATTAGCCCAGCAGTGAATAGGTCACTCCATTGGAAACATGTCATTCTTCCTACTGGGTCTGGGGATCTTGAAGCCAGGCCAAAATTTCCAGTCATTTCTGCCAGACTACGGAAGCCCCCGGGGGAACTGCTCTGTGATATGGTAGAAACAGAGGCATTGGGAGATTGATGTAATCGTGAATTTTTCACAAGTTGACTGTTTCAGAGTCTCAACAGAAAAGCCTGCATGTAAAAATAAATGAATGAGTAAATAAGCAAAGGGGCACACGCTCCACAGCCCACTCTTAGCCCAGGACTGACGGCAGCCGGGATTGCTTCGGGAGAGGAGGTGTCAGGGCCCGCAGAAGAGAGGCTCTTAGCTCCACAGGGTTTGGGAATCACTGTGTTTGCAGCAACAATTCTCAACCTTTTGGTCACTCTGACAGCTGACGGACTCACACGCTCCTGGCAGTGGCTGTGGCTTACATGGGTGGTAGTTTCCTGGGAAGAGGCAGCCCTTTTGGAAGAAGGCGTGATTTTAGAAAGGTGTCCAAAATTGATCACTCCTGTAAGACCAGACCATGTCATTAAACTCACTTTAGTGTTGAGATTAATCCCTCCCAGTGCATAAAGTGGGTAGAAAAGATATGTCAGCCTAATATTTAAAAGCAAAAATATGTCTATTTCAAAGTTTTTTGTTTTTTTTTAAAGATTGGCCCTGAGCTAACGTCTGTTGCCAATCTTCTTTTTTTCTTCTTTTTCTTCTTCTCCCCAAAGTCCCCCAGTACATAGTTGTATATTCTAGTTGTGGGTCCTTCTGTTTGTGCTATGTGGGACGCCGCCTCAGCATGGCCTGATAAGCGGTGCCATGTCCGCGCCCAGGATCCAAACCGGCGAAACCCTGGGCCGCTGAAGCGGAGCGCACGAACTTAACCGCTTGGCCACGAGGCCAGCCCCTCAAAGTATTTTTAAAATGTTATTTTCCGAATGAAAGTCATACAGAAGATAATGAAACAGTGAGGAAGGGAAAAGAAAATGCCCCAAATATGAAGTCTCAGGCAAAATAAAGACCCATGTCTTTATGGAATTTTTCCTATATCAGCCCAATTATCAACCCCATGTGTGTATAATGGGTCAGACTTTGCCCTCAAAGGGCAAGTAATAATCAAGCCATTCCTCAGAAATAAAGACGTTCCTCCTCAGCCTTGATTCGTGTTTGGCGTTTACAAGTCTGCTCCAGGAACCGGGTCAGCTTGTGCCTTGGCTGTGGCGGAGACTCTGAAAGGGATTGTTTGAATTATGATTTTGAAAATGAGTGCTGACCTCTCAAAAGCAGAGGCCTGGGTGAGCTGCTCCCCTAGGCTTCTCTCCAGCGCCTTGTCCAAGCTTCCACCCCGCATGCATGCATGCATGTACATGAATGCATGGGCAGCATGCATGGTAGACCCTCAATGTGGCCACTGGGCTTGAAAATGTTCTGAAGGCTGACTGATGCATTGATGCATCTCAGAAGAGGCGAGGGGGAGGCCTGCTGTAGCCGGCACAGTCATCAGTTCTCGCTCCAGGGGCACTCTTCTTCCGGGAAATGGTAGCAAATATTGGTGGAAACCAAGTCATTTTACAACTGAGAAGGATAAGCAGATCCACTGAAACGGAACTGTAGCAGGCGAGACTCCGCTGCCAGAAGCAAAACATCAAGCCATTTTAAACAGATGAAAAATGACTCCAATGAATGAGGTGCTCCCCAAATCATCGGGGTGCTGGAGGAGTTTTCCAGGAAAGACAGAACCAAACCGCAGGGCCGGCCGGAGGAGGGGCTGCCGCTCTGTCCCGGCAGGAATGTCGGGGAGCAGCTGGAACTGCCGAGGAGCAGGAGGACAGGCCTGCCTCACTTCTTCGGTGCAGAGTGCACACTAGGGTATCTGACTGACAGAGCCTAGGTCTTGTGCGCAGTCGCTGCCTCCTGGAGGGCCGGGAAGCGTGTGTTAGCCAGGCAGCCTGGGCACCGCGGCATGCGCGCTGCAGAGAGGCTGCCAGTCCCGGCCCACCACCCCACCCCGGGCACCAGGTAAAAGCAGGATGAGAGGATTCCCAGGCAGGAAGCATCTGAGAAGCAGACGGGGAACTAGTGGAGGACAGTCAGCAAAGGGGAGGCTGAAGCATCGCTCCCAGCGCAGCCCCGCCCCTGCCGAAGCCTGGCTTGTTGTGTAATGGGGTATTTGTTTGCTGGCCTCTCTCGGCCAGCTGCCTTTGTTCAAGGTGAGCAGTGGTTACTGGAAGGAGGCCAAAGACTCAGAATGGTTGTTTCGATGGGTTCGATTTGCAGGAGAATGAAATACGGCCTGGAAAGCCCCCGACTGCCTGTGATAGCAAGTCTGGGCCCTCTACGTAAATTTGCAAATCCTATATTATTAGTGAGAGTCCCTCCTGCTCCCCCACTTCCTGCCCCTCCCCGAGCATCTTATGGCTTCAGCATAATTGTGGGAGACCAAGGAAGGCACGGGAATGCCCTGGCACTGCATGATGGTCCCAGGTAAGGTCCAGCCAACTCTTGGTTTCATTGGGAAGCAAATGTTTGGATTTTGGGATT